ACAGCTTTAAATGATAAGCAGCCTAATAACAGCTTTAAAATACATGAAACAAAAACTGATACAGCTGTAAGATAGACAAATTCATAATAACAGTCAGAGATGTCAATACCTCCCTCTCAGTTAATGATGAAAAAGAAGAGAATCAGTACCGGTACAGTAGACCTGAACAACAAAATCAACCAAAGGGATCTAAATGGGTGTGTAGAATACTTCACCCTTTGGCAGTAGGATGTGTCCACTTCTTTAGAAGTGAGCATGGAACATTACCAAGATCCACCTTATTTGGGGCCATAAGACAAGTCTCAGCTTTAAAAGAAAGTCATACAGAGTGTGATCTCTAACCACAATGTATTAAACTTGAAATCAGTAACAGGAAGAGCTTTTGGATAATCCCCAAATATTAGTATTTTTTTTTTTCCTTTTTTTGTCTTTTTTCGTGACCGGCAATGGATCGCAACCCTCAGTGTCGCGCCCGTACCGGACCGGGACCAGCAACAGGATCGCAACCCTCGGTGTTGTGCCCGCACCTCGCTCAGCCAGTGAGCGGCCGGTCTGTATGTGGGATCCGAACCCTCAGCGGGAGCGCCGCTGCACCCCCAAGCGGCACACTGTAGCAGTGCGCCACCGGGCCGGCCCCAAATATTAGTATTTTTACCAGAATTAAAATGAAAATGCAGCTTATCAAAGTTTGCAATATGCTGGGGCCGGCCCGGTGGCGCACTGCTGTAGTGCGCCGCTTGGGAAGCGCGGTGGCGCTCCCGCCGAGGGTTCGGATCCCACATACAGACCGGCCTCTCACTGGCTGAGCGAGGGGCGGTAGCATCACCGAGGGTTGCGATCCTGTGGCCGGTCCCTGTCCGGTACGGGTGCGATGCTGAGGGTTGCGATCCGTTGCCGGTCACGAAAAAAGACAAAAAAAAAAAAGTTTGCAATATGCTGCAAAAGCACCCTTTAGGGGAAATTTATAGAACTAACTGCATAAATTTAAAAAGAATAAAGGTTTCAAATCAATGACTTCAGCTTCCTCCTTAAAATACTGGAAAAATAAGAACAAATGGAACCCAAACTAAGCAAAAGAAAATGATGAACACTGGAGTAAAAATCAGTGAAATAGAAAATAGAGAAACAGCAGAGAAACCAATGAACCCAAAAATGATTCTTTGGGAAGATCAATAAAATTGCTAAATCTCAAGCCGGACTGGTCAGGAGAGAAAAAAGCAAGGACGCAAGTTACCACAATCAGGATAAGAAAGTGGGGTCACTGCGGAGTCACAGATGTCATTTAAAGATAGAGTAATATTGTTGTGATGGTTGATTTTGCAGCTGCTTGACTGGGCCACAGGGTGCCCACACATTTGTCAAGCGTTGTTCTGGGTGTGTCTGTGATATCTTTGGATGAAATTAACATTTGAATTGGTAGACTGGGAAAGCAGATGGCCCCGACAATGTGAGTGGGTACATCCGGTCGAAGGCATGAACAGGACAAATAGGCTGACACCTCTCCCCCAGCTGCCCAGTAAGAGGAATCTCTTGCGTGGCTGCCTTGAACTGGGATATTGGTCTTGTCCTGCCTTCAGATGGCTCTTCTTGAGTCTTGAGCCTACCAGCTTTCAGACTGAAACTTATACCATTGGCGCTCCTGGTTCTCCAGCTTACTGACTGCAGTTCTTGCCTCTGTAATTGCACAAACCAATTCCTTTATCTCTCTCCCTTCCTCTCCCCTCCTCCTCTCTCTATATATACACACACAAGCGCTCATGTACACACATCCTGTTGGTTTTGTTTCTCTGGAGAACCCTGACTAATATAATTATGAACAACTTTGTGCTAATAAATTCAACAACTTACATAAAACAGACATATTTGTTTAAAGACACAAATTACCAAAGTTCATTCAACAAGAAATTCGTAACTGAATAGCCCTAGATCTATTTAAGAAATTGAACTTATAGTTAAAAACATTCCCTGCCATTCCCCCACAAAAACTTCTTGCCTGTATAGCTTTATTTGTGAGTTTGTCAAAAGTTTCACGAAGAAATAAGTTCTACACAAACCCTTCAACTCAAGGAAATTTAATTCCAAATTTATTTTGAGGCCAGCATTACACTGGTACCAAGACAACATAACAAAGATATAACAAGAAAAGAAAAACACATACCAGTATCACTTATGAACATAAATGTAAAAATTCTGAAACAAAATTTTAGCAAATTAAATATATGTGAGACCAAGAAGAGTTCATCCTAGGGATAAAAAGCTGGTTTAATGTTCCAAAAATCAATTGGTGTAATTCACCATATTAATGACTAAAAAGGAAAAATTATATAATCTCAGTAAGCACAGAAAAAGCATCTGACAAAATTTGACATCTATTTCTGATCAAAACTCTCAGCAAACTAGAAATAGAAGGGAACTTCCTTCATCTGTGAAAACCCACTTAGTAGTAAGTAAATAAAGGCTGTTTCCTTGTAAGATCGGGATCAAGGCAAGCCCACTCCTAGAATTTCTGTTCAGCACTGTGCAGGAGGTTGTAGACAGGCAGTGAGGCAAGAAAAAGAAGCGGTATACACATTGTGTGGGAATCCTGATGCGTCTAAAGTGAAGCTGTTAAGGATTGATGAGTGATTTAGCAAGATTGCAAGACACAAGATCAATACACAGAGATAAAATTGTACTTACATATGCTACCAATAAACAGAAACTGGATGCTTAACAACAGACCCCATTTAAAATAGCATCTAAATGTTTTAAACATTAGGGGTAGATCTGACAGGAGATGTGCAGGACTCTACTGAAAACCACAAGACATCACTGAGACATGAGACAAATAACAGAAGACCTGAGTAAGTGGGGATGGATCCTGTGTTCATGGGTGAGAAGCCTCGGTATTATTAAGATGCCCCTTTTCCCAGAATTGATCTGTAAATTCAGTGCACAAGCAAAAATGTGAAGCTGGATCTATACCTCACAGCATGCACAAAAATTAACTCAGAATGGTTCATAGCCCTAAATGTAAAGCATAAAACTGTAAAACTTCTAGAAGACAACATAGAGGAAAAGCTTCACATCCTTTGGTTGGGCAAAGAGTTTGAAGCACTGAGAACATGATTCATATAATATTTTGCTGTCCAAAATACACTATTAAGACAAAAAAATAAGTGACAGACTGAGAGAAAGTATTTGCAAATGACACCTCTGGTAAAGGACTTGTGCCTAGAATATAAAACAGCTTGCAGACTCCATAAGAAAACAACTCAATTTTAAAATGGACCAAAGATTGGGACAGACACGTTACCAAAGAATTTTTCAGGTGGTAATAAACCCACGAAAAAAATGTTTAACATCATTAATTGTTAGGGAAACACAAATTAAAATCACAGTGAGATACCATATACAGGTGGTAATAAACCCACAAAAAAAATGTTTAACATCATTAATTGTTAGGGAAACACAAATTAAAATCACAGTGAGATACCACTATGCGTCTGTTAGAATGGCCAAAATTTAAAAGACTGACTACACCAAGTTTTGGTGAGTAGGTGAAGCAACTAGAACTCGTACCCTGCTGGTGAGAGCATAAAATGGTACAACTGTGAGAGGAGTTTTTTACAAAAGCTGAACCATGGCTGGCCAGTTAGCTCACTTGGTTAGAGCCAGCAGTAATAACACCAAGCTCAAGGATTCAGATTATCCTACAGGCCAGCCACACAACAAAAAGCTGCAGCTAAACGTATGCCTACTCTACAATCCAGCCATTTTTCTCCTAGGTGTGTACCCAAGAGACATGAAAACGTGAAAAGGAGGACTCATACACAAAGTTCATAGCAGCCATTTGTATCACCAAAAACTGGAAGCAACCCGTGGTCCGTCAGAGGGTGCATGGATAGACAAATTGCGTGTTCATACAGTAGAACTCTCCTCACAATGAAAAGAAATCAACTGTTGATACTCGCAACAACAGATGAGTTTCAAAACAATGATACTGTGTGAGAGAAGTCAGACCAAGAAGAGTGCAGACTGCATGACAACCCACTCAGAAAGTTTTAGAATGTGTGAGCCCCTTGAGGTGACAGCAGAGGGAGCCGTCCCGAGGGTGCAAGGGGCTTTGGGACAGATGATCTGTTCATCATCAAGATTGTGATGATGGTTTCACAGATAAACAAAACTTGTTAAAACTTGTCGGATTATATACTTTAAATACATGTGCAGAATTGTATATCAGTTATTTGCAAAACATATACCAATAGTGGGAGGGTACATTGGTATAACCTTCTGGAGTAAAATTTGGCAATATGTGTAAAATTTTTAATGTGAAAACTTTTGACACAGCAGTTAATTCTAGATTCTAGAATTTATTCTGTGAAAGTAATCGAGTGATTGCCCAAAGATGTATGTGCAAAGTTGTGACCTACAGAATTGTTTGTAACGGAAACACTGAAAAATAGTCCCACTGGTCCAGGACAGATTCGTTTATGTTCAAGCACACACAAAACCAATTCTTGTGGAAGATTTGAGCACAGTTGACAGAAGCAGGACTGGCACTTGGCTCTCTCTGAGAGGCATGCCGGATTCTGCAGAGGTCTCAGGAGGGGCTGTGCCTGAGGCTGCTGCAGGAGAGCCATCCCAGGCCAGGCCTGAGCCTTTCCCTTCAGGCTCACACACATCGGCCAGCCTTGGAGGCAGGAAGGATGTGCCGGGGGAAGGCAAGTTAGTCAAATAAAATTTAATCCTTTGTTTTGGTTTTATCATCACAGAATTTGGTTTGTTTATTTTTACAAGGGAGTTCAAAAACAGGAAGCATAAATTTTTTTAGCAGCTCTTTATCAGATATTCTGTATTTTCATTGTTTCGAAGGATATGACCTGTGATCCATCCAGAGAGCTGTTAAATAAATGTAACAAGCAGAAGGTTGGCAGATGTTTATGATTGCTCTTTAAGCAGTGTAAACACACAGCTGTTTTTTTTTTTTTTAAACCCTTTCTCTGCATGATAATTTCTAGAATAGGAAAACCGTGAAGGACCTAACTAAACATGCAATAAAGGAGAGGCATGTTGGTGCCGAGGACCTGCCGGGGGTGGCGGCCTTTGCTGCAGAGATGAGCGATGTGGGTACGTGTGTGCGCGGGGCTGAGAGAAGAGCAGTTAAGAGGACTTGTGCCTGGAAGATGGGCACCTTGAGAAACACACCCTGCTGCAGAGGCATGTGGTGTCTGACAGATGGCCACTGTCTCATCTGTCTGGAGGCCAAGTGAAGACTTGATGTTTTAGGTTACTTTAAAAACACTTTTACATTATGGATGATTTTTGCCATGTGATCTTTTAAACTATTGTAGACATTTTAAAATCATGTCTCTAATATTTTAGATGATACTGTATATACAAAGCAGGAGAATAAGTTGAATGGCCTGTTTTTTCCTTGTTAGAAAGCTCAGCCCATTTTCCTGGCTCTGCATAGTGAAGCACAGATTACTCAAGGGGACACGCTGTGCTCTGGCCTTGTTGTGGTCATGCTGAAGTGCTGTTCCCCGTCTGTGGTTGTGGGTTAGCCTTTGAGGCAGCCATGCTCTAATGCCCAACCTAAGTGAGGACTACTCAAGGGGACACGCTGTGCTCTGGCCTTGTTGTGGTCATGCTGAAGTGCTGTTCCCTGTCTGTGGTTGTGGGTTAGCCTTTGAGGCAGCCATGCTCTAATGCCCAACCTAAGTGAGGACGTATTATTCTACAGCTATTCAAGCTGTTTGACCTCTGACTGGAACTGTTTCTCCACTTTGCATACAGTAAATGAAATGCAAATCTCTAATGCAAGAGATAAGGAATTTTTCAATCCAGTGCTAAATGAAAATCAGAAGTTAGCAGTCAAAAGAATTCTGAGTGGTGACTGCCGCCCACTCCCATATGTTCTTTTTGGACCTCCTGGAACTGGAAAAACGGTGACAATAATAGAGGCGGTTTTACAGGTAAGGACCGTGGTACCACAGCTCCTCTGGCCCTGTGCTGCTGTCACGTGCTTCCCTCTCATGTGTGCCTGTCTTCAGGAGGTGTTAGTTTATTTATTTATTTATTTATTTTTTGTCCTTTTTGTGACCGGTAAGGGAATCGCAACCCTTGGCTTGGTGTTGCCCGCACCTCGCTCAGCCAGTGAGCGTACTGGCCATCCCTATATAGGATCCGAACCCGCGGCGAGAGCGCCACTGCGCTCCCAGCACCGCACTCTCCCGAGTGCGCCACGGGCTCGGCCCAGGAGGTGTTAGTTTAAATTGTAGAATGAGAGTTGTAAAGAGGTTGAGAATCCTAGCTATTTTATACTATTTAGTTAATTTGCTTATGTGAATACATAGGATTTAGAAAGCTTATTTCGGGCCGGCCCGGTGGCGCACTGGATAGTGCGCCGCTTGGGAAGCGCGGCGGTGCTCCCGTCCGAGGGTTCGGATCCCACATACAGACCGGCTCCCGCTCACTGGCTGAGCGAGGCGCGGGAGCAACGCCGAGGCTTGCGATCCCGTTGCCGGTCCCCGGTCCGGTACGGGGGCAACACTGAGGGTTGTGATCCATTGCCGGACACGGAAAAAAAAAAAAGACAAAAGACAAAAAAAAAAAAGAAAGCTTATTTCATAACTTTAGAAGTTCTTCATTTTTAGAATAGTAAACTATTCAATTACATCATGGAATTTTGCTACAGAAAAGAAGTTACCTTTACAAGTAGCTAAAGCTACCATTCTTCAGAAGTTTCGGGTATCTCTGTTTATATTGGAAATTGTATGTATGAAAATATTGTGTATTTAGTATTTTTGTCGTTCAGGATTCAGATTAGCAGACATATGTTGAGTGCCTACCTCAGTACAGTACTGCAGGCTGGACACATGACAATCTGACTCAGTTTCTGCTTTAGAAGATGGCTTAGGATCTTGAAGAGCACAGAGAACTTTAGCACCTAACCTTGTCACTTTCGTGTTCCGTGGGCCCATGTCTCAGAGATGTCACGGGACTGACGTCCGAGCCCATGTGGCTGTGAATGGACCTGTGCATATGGGATGTGAGACGCAGATTTCCACTTTGCAGCGTTGATATTTGTGATCCTTGGCTTCTTTTGTGTCTTTGATGAAGGTACACTGTGCTTTGCCAGATAGTCGGATTTTGGTCTGTGCACCTTCCAATAGTGCCGCTGACCTCGTATGTCTGCGGCTGCACGAGAGCAAGGTGCTGAGGCCAGCAGCCATGGTCCGGGTGAATGCTACCTGCAGGTTTGAGGAGGTGAGCCCCAGGCACAGGGGAGGCAGGGGAGCCTGGGAGCACCAGGGCCACCTCCTTGGAGAGTAGAAAATGCCAAGACGGCAGACAAGGGCAGGAGGCAAGAGGGCAGACAGAGAGTCGGCACAGAAAGTCCTAGTGGAGAAACCACTCTGCCATGAGCCAAAACCCACTGTTCAGCAGTGGAGTTTTATTTCTGAACATTTCATGACATCCTCACACACTCTCTGTGAGTTATCAGTCCTGTCATGGCCATTCTTAGCTTTGTTAAAATCTCATGTTCCCCTTTTATCTGATCCCCAAGTGTATTGTTTTCTTTTTAGTTCTGTTTTATTGGTTTAGCTATAAGTATCCCTTTAGGGAAATTATAAGTTCCTGGTTCGCGTATAGAATGGAAAAAAAAAAAATTGAATCTATAAAATGCACAAAGTTCCTGGGAAGTTCTGTAGGATTTTATGTTATATCCATGGCTCTAGGGTCCACAAGACATCAACTAAGTTGGTACAAAAATGTAAAATATTTTAACTTCAGAAAACAATCTTAAACCATTACTTCATCATAACTAAAAAGTGATAATAGAGCAAGATTATCTTTTAGAATTCCTTTCAGCTTTGCGATTCTGCCCGATTTTTTTAAAATGCTTAATAATTTGGAAAATAAACTGACTCCACCTCTGCCCCTCGCCAGACAATTATTGATGCCATCAAACCATATTGCAAAGATGGAGAGGACATCTGGAAAGCATCACGCTTCAGAATAATAATCACAACGTGCAGCAGCGCAGGGCTTTTTTACCAAATTGGATTGAGGTAACTGCTCAGCATCATGTGGGGTGCAGGGTCCCACAGGGTGAAAGTTTCTGTCCTCTTAAAGCTCACATCTGAGGGGGCCGACGACACAGAGGGTGGGCAGTGGAGGGAGGAGGCAGGGCTGTGGGTGAGAGGGACCAGGCCAGGCATGGCTTCTCTAAGGGACAATGTTTGCACTGAGACCCCAAAGACTCAGAGGACCCAACAGTGGGTTGGGCGGGCAGGTGCATGTTAACCCAAAGGAGATGGAGCCAGAGCCTAGCAAGCAAGAAGAATGGGGTGAAAGGACTGCGAAAGGAAGCCCAGCCCCAGTGGGAGCTGTGGAAAGGCTTCTGAGGGGGCAGTGGGTAGCTAAGAGGGGGTCATTGGAAGGCAGGCTGGCTGGGAAGCAGCTAAGCTCTGTGAGGTCAGACCGTGTGGGGCCATGAGCCCACTAGTATGGGGGGTCTGCAGGGGATGTGGAGCGTGGTGTGCCAGCACGCATTGGAGGCAGCTTCCCAAGGACACTCCTTGAGAGCTGGAGGAAGAGCTGTGAGCCAAGGGGGGTACCGAGTGAGGCAGCAGGCAGCCCCCTTCAGTGATTGATGAGAGCCTAGCAGTGTGGGGCAGGCTGAGTGAGAGAGGGAGCATCTCACCCCCCACTGACAGTCCAGAGACAGACCCCTGTACCTTCTGGCTGAGTCACCCCAGGGTACTATCCAGCGTTTCAGTGGCTGTGAGGGTGACCACCAGGAGGTGGGCCTCAGCTGGGCCGACTCACGGTCTCACCTGCCTCCGCCGTAGGCTCTGTGTGTTTATCAGCACTACACAGGCAGAGGCCAGCAGCTGCCCAGGAGCTGCATGTGATGGTCAGGCCTGTCACCACATGCTGCAAATGATGCTATCAATAAATTTTAGTTATTCTCACATATACAGACTATTATTTCATTTAATCAGTATAAAAAATGATTGAAAAGACATTTCATTTTTTTTTCAGTTCATATCTTCAACGTCTACTGTGCATTTTACACCTAGAGCACGTTATATTTCAGACTAGCCACTGCGAGGTGCTTGAGCTGCGTGTGGGTAGTGGCTACTGGATTGGACAGAACGGGTCTAAACAAGAGTGAGGGTTTTTATGTTAACGAGCATTGATGAGTCAAAGCCTTATTGAGATAGAGAAACATCCAGTGGGAACAGACCCAGCCTCCTCTGTTTCAGGGCAGAGTCTTGTTGGGGTGCAGAGGCTCCACTCGGGGGGAGGGCAGGGCTGGCGTGTGCACGGTGTGGACCCTACTTCTGTGGAGCCAATGACTACGTGGGAGGAGGAGGTGGCCAGCCAGGGCAGGTAGCTGGTCTAGAGATTTTTCCCAGGCTGGAGAGGCAGAGGTGGGCGGGTTGGCGAGGGGCGCTGGTGCCATGGGAAGCTTCAAAGGTGCAAACGAGGAGCATCGCCACCTGGTGGCGGTTCTTGGGTGACTGCGGTCACTGCTGGTATGGAATTGAAAACTTGAATTTTTTTTTTTTTTTTTAAAAAGATGACAGGTAAGGGGATCTTAACCCTTGACTTGGTGTTGTCAGCACCACGCTCAGCCAGTGAGCGAACCGGCCATCCCTATATATGGGATCCGAACCCGGGGCCTTGGTGTTATCAGCACCGCACTCTCCCGAGTGAGCCACGGGCCGGCCCGAAAACTTGAATTTTGAAAGAAGTTAACAGGAGATGGGAATATGGAAGTATGCTGATTCCCGTGTCTTTCAGGGATGAGTATCATTTGTGCAGTCGAGGGATTGAGGTTTACAAATTCAGGCTTGCACATTAAAGATGTAAATTTGTGAGGAGTGGAAATAGGAGCATGTCAGCCCTCACCCCCAGGAGCAGAAGCCTCCCTGGCACCAGTCTGACCGTGGGGTCTCATCTCATGGTGGGCACCCGAGGCTCAGCAGTAATGGAATTTGTCTGGGGTCTGGGGTCAGGTAGGGGAGAGCTCAGGCTAGGCAGTCAGATGGGCGGGGGCCCACGGTTTGTCCCCATGGGTGTTGGCGTGGCTCAGGCACATTCTCTCTGCCCTCAGTCTGTTTCCTTGGGCAAGAGGAAAGGTGGCGCTGCCTCATGGCTGGCCATGGGGAGGGTCTGGAGTGAGGGCTGGCCCAGTGCTGTCCCCGGGGCTCCCGGGGCTGCAGCCTGTGGCAGAGCAAGTCAGCAGTGTGCCCTGGCTGAGAGCAGCTCTTGAGCAGAGTGGAGAGGAGGGGGCAGGTGGAGGGGCAGCCACCGTGTGTGAGATCACTCATGGTCACCCAGCACTGAGGACGTGACCTGCCCAGGGTCACACTGCTGGGAAGTGGGTAGAGCCAGGACTCACACCGGGCATCTTGACCCTCACCAGGCAGAGATGCAGAAGCGAGAAAAGCATGCATCACATCCCTGGGGGCCGCCCAGCACGTGCTTGCGGTGCCAAGTTCACAGCACCCTCACCCTTGTCCCCTCCACGTCTTTCTGTTGCTCACAGAGCAACAGATGCCCTGTGGACTCCCTGCTCCTGCACTACCCTGGCGGCCGCTGTGGGCCCAGGTGCTGGCAGGAGTTACCATTTAGAACATCTTTGGCTCTAGAGTTGGACACTTCACACACGTATTTGTGGACGAAGCTGGGCAGGCAAGTGAGCCAGAATGCCTGATTCCTCTGGGGCTGATTTCAGACATCAGTGGCCAGGTAAGGCCTGCTGCTGTGTGTGCTGTTTCCTTATTACCCTGTGTCCTGCAGTGATGGGGTCCCATGGTCCCGTAATGGACTGTCACGGCCTTAAAGGGGTCAGGTGAAAGTTCAAGTCTCCAAGGGGCCTGGGGCCACAGACTGTTCCTCAGTCACAAAGACTAGGGGGAAGAGGCCGCCCTGTCTTGACTCATTCATGTGTAAAACAGAAGTTGAGAACCATCCTCTGTATTGGGGAGACAGCAGTGAAGTCATCAACTGTGATTCCTGCTCTGGTGAGCCATTCCCCACATACCTGAGACAGGAGGGACAGGGCCCGTACTATTGGTCCTGAGCTGGGGTCCTTAGCTGTTCTCCCACCTGATTCTCTGGCCCTATGATAGTGAGGTGGGCATCATCCTTCCCCCCACGTCCTCCCAGTCAGTCGGGGTGGTTATCTGGCATCTGCTGTGTGGACATTTCAGGATCCTCCTGAGCCCCCATTGGCAGGATCTGAGGACAGGTCCCATACCTCCTGTCTGGGTCACCAGGCACTGTGAGTCAGGGCACGGGAAGGGGCTGTGGGAGGGAACAAAGCCTAGTCCAGCTGGAACATGTGGCATCGGGGTACAGCTGCCTCACAAGGCCACGGGAACCATGGTTGAGGGATAAGGGATGGTCAGCAGGATGGTGGCCATGGTGTGGGACATCCCAAGAGAGAGCATCAGGGATAGAGGCTGGGTGGGCTGCCAGGGCCAGGCACATACAAACTTTAGGAGATAGGCCACTTCCGTGGCTCTTAGTGCTTTGCGAGATAAGCTGGAGAGAAAGGCAGGCTGCCAGACCAGGGACTGCAGGGACAGGCAGGTGGAAGCTGTGCTGAAGGAGCTGGTGTCTCCCCTTTGGTTTTTCCCGTTTCCACCGCCCTGGTCTGGGCCATCGTTGTCTTGCATGAGCAGTTCCAGCTGTGTCCTCCCTGGTCTCTCAGAGTGACCGCAGGGCCAGCTGGCCCCAGCCCATGGGAGACGCTGGCTGCTGCTCAACCCTTGCAGCCATTTGCCTCCACCACAGCTATAACTGTGCATGACTGTGCATGTATCACTGCATGAGCTGAGCTGCCGGTTTGTGTGCCACAGATCATACTGGCCGGAGACCCCATGCAGCTCGGCCCAGTCATCAAGTCCAGACTGGCCATGGCCTATGGGCTGAACGTGTCCATGTTGGAAAGGCTGATGTTGCGGCCAGTCTATCTGAGAGATGAAAACGCTTTTGGAGCCTGTGGTGCATACAACCCCCTGTTGGTAAGCTCGCACACTTTATCATATAACTTACCCACATGAAGCCAGAGCAGAGCTGGGTAGAACAGTGGGAGCTGCAGGGGTGGAGTCACAGGGACAGGCCAGCAGTCAGGGCAGCTCCACTCATGTGCACTGAGTCACATCTGCAGGCAGAGGCCTGTCACGCCCAGAGGACAGGTGAGGAGCTCCCACCACCAGCAGATACACCCACCACCCTCAGCTTCTCCACTCTGAAGGGGCTCTGCCCTGAAAGGCCCCACTCCCTCCCTCCCAGATGGGACTTAGGCACCTTTAACCTGATCTTAGGTTCCAGGAACTAAGAAATGTGCCTCGTTAGGGTCCCTCATGGGGGTCAGGGAACTACAGGCAGTCTGACACTGATGGCTGAGCTTCTGTGGGGTCAGATACAGGAAAAGATGTTAAGTCTGTTTTACTTTGTGCTGTAGTTTGGATGCCCCCTCAACCTCACTGAAGTTTAAATCCCCACTGCAACTGTTGAGGGTGGGAAATCCTATTATGGTAATTGAAAGGTGGAGCCTTGAAGAGGTGATTAGATTGTAGTACTATGCCATAGTGAATGCATTAAAAAATGGTGGTCAGGGGCATGGTTCTTAGGGCTTTAAAAGAAGAGCATGTGAGAAGCTGTCTCTCTGCTCTGCCATTTTCTGCCATGTGAGACCCCTGGGTCAGTGTCACCACCACCAAGATCCTGACCAGATGTGTTCCCTGCACAGTGGACTTCCCAGCCTCTGAAACTGTAAGCAGTAAATTTCATTTTCTTATAAATCACCCAGTTCCAGGTTTTTTTATTTTTTATTTTTTTAAAGATGACCGGTAAGGGGATCTTATCACTTGGCTTGCTGTTATCAGCACTATGCTCAGCCAGTGAGCAAACTGGCCATCCCTATATAGGATCCAAACCCGTGGCCTTGGTGTTATCAGCACCGCACTCTCTCGAGTGAGCCACGGGCTGGCCCTTAGGTATTTTGTTATAAGCAACAGAAACGGAATAATAACTCTGTTAAGTAGAAAAAACAGGAAGTAACTTTTGTAACTACCTAAAAGAAAAGAGAGGCCATAGGGAGTGGCTCTCATCTGCATGGGAGTCCTCCATGGTCTCCTTGAGGTGCAGGCTCTGTTCCCAGCCGACCTCAGGTCCAGCTCTGAGGGACGGGCTTTGGAGTCCACCTGTGGGAACCCCAGCACGCTGTGTTCAGGAGCTTTGGATCTCTAGGGTCCATCATTAAATGGTGAGCCTAGTAGCTGTATTCTCTTAACTCCTATAATATAAAAAAATTTTTCTATCTATTTATATTACTAGTAGTAACATTAAACAGAAAATGAGGCGTGGTGATCATGGGCAGATCTTCAGGCAAATGGCCTGGGATCTGTTCCCAATGGCAGCACCTGAGCACCTTACCCCATTGGAAATATAAAGAGGCAGGAGTGGAGCAGAGTCTGGGTGGGAAGGTACGTCAGGGGCCCCTTAGGAGTCTCTGAGGAGACCGGGAAGCTGCCCCAGGATGGGAAAGCCTCTGCAAACGTCTGCTAGACACAGCGAGGGCACCTAAGAGCTCTGCTGCCCACTAAAGACATATCTAGTGCTCCAAGTATCCCCATGCCCCCCAGGACCTGCCAGCTGCCTTTGTAGAGGGCCCACCTGGGCCACGCAGTGGAGGACTAGCATGTTGCCGCCCCGACCCCGCAGCACGGCTTTCAAAGTGCACACACGCTCCTCATGTGGCCACAGGTGCAGAGGACCCTGACCCACAGAAGGTGGAGGCTTTGTCTTGTGCGGGCCTGGCCAGCATCCTGCACCTGCCCTCTCTCCCCAGAGTGGCCGAAGCCACAGTGAGCCCCTGGGCGCAGTGTGCCTCCTTTGTCTTGCCCTGGTCACCTGCCCGTGTCCAACCAACACAGAGACCTTGTGATACCAGGCCAAGTTTGGAGTTTTGATTAGCATCTTGGAGGCTGGACATGTGTAAACTCCAGAATTACAGTTTGTTGTCCTGAGTCAGGAGAAGCCGTGGGGCCAGCCGGTGCTCTCATGCTGGCACTAGAGAGGAGCACCTGCACCAAGTGGACTTCCAAGACCAGTTGGAGGCACAGAGAGAGGCTGTTGTTCCACATACTGGTGACATCGTCATGGTCCCCATTGGCTCTGCTGAGGAGGGCCTGGCCTGCTCAGGGCTGGCTCTGCCCACCAGTCATGTTGTCCATAACCATCCTGTCCTCAGGCCCTGCAGCCCAGCTGAGATGCGGCTTTGTGGGGCTTTATTGAAAGGCCGGGGTAACAAGACGGTGGGTTCCGAGTGGAGCTGGCAGCACATGAGGGAGACACCGCCTGACTATGGCCCGGCTGCCAGGTCCTGGGTGGTAGGAACCGTCTGCCCCTGTGAAGAGACTCCTCAGCAACATCCAGACCCAGGAGAGGAGCAAAGAGAAGCTCCTCTCCTCCTCTCCCCCTCTCCTTCCTGATGCTCACCTTTTCTATTGAAATAGTCCCTTGGTGCGACAGGCTCTGAGGGGCCTGGTCTGGTGGCAGATGACATGCTGGGAAGGGAGGACATGCGGGAGCAGGGCTGCCCCGTGGCGTGGTGGTTGAGGTGGGTCTCACATGTGCCACACATGGCCTCTGTCCCTTTGGCAGACACTCCATGCGCACTGACTCCGTTTGACCTATGGCTTGTCTCCTCCTTGCAGGTCACAAAGCTTGTGAAGAACTACAGGTCCCACGCTGCGCTGCTGGCACTGCCTTCTCGGCTTTTCTACCACAAGGAGCTTGAAGTCTGTGCAGACCCCAAAGTGGTGACCTTGCTGCTGGGCTGGGAGAAACTACCTAAGAAAGGCTTCCCTCTCATCTTCCACGGCATGCGGGTGAGCGAGGCAGCATGGCAGGAAGTCATGTGCTGCAGGGGAGCAGCCACAGAGGAGCAGGGTGACCACATGGTGCTGTTCCTAGTGTGCTGTCTGTGTTCACTACACGTGCTTTGTTTAGTTGAGTCAGTAACCAAGCATTTCTTGGGTGCCTGCAGTGGGGCACACACTTTTCTGGTCTCAGACTGCAGAAAATCTCAAGACCAGGTGCTGCCTTCTCCTGTCAGATGAGTCCCTTGTAGAAGGGCTTAGCAGTGGTGCCTGGCCCAGTGTGGGCATTGCAGGGCAGGGGCAAGCACTGGGTTATGGGAAGGGAGAGCCAGGCCACTGTGAGGAAGAGCTCGTGCATGGAGGAAAAGGCAGGGGAGGACAGGGAGGCTGGGCAGCAGGACCCTCACTGCCCCCACCAGGGTGTTTCCTCAAGTGAGAACTGGGCAGGAAAGGGGTCAGCCATGTGCCGGAGCCCAGCTCCAGGGGCATAAAGGGCGATGGGAGGACAAGGGCCTCCCTCTCACCAAGGCCTCACAGAGGGACAGGGTTAACTAATCAGTAGCCAAAAAAAATTACAAGTGTTCACTAAAATCAGAAAGTTTATATTAGGGGGCCGGCCGGTGGCTCACTCGGGAGAGTGCGGTGCTGATAACACCAAGGCCACGGGTTCGGATCCCATATAGGGATGGCCGGTTAGCTCACTGGCTGAGCGTGGTGCTGACAACGCCAAGCCGAGGGTTGAGATCCCCTTACCGGTCATCTTTAAAAAAAAAAAAAAAGAAAGTTTATATTAGGGGGCCGGCCGGTGGCTCACTCGGGAGAGTGCGGTGCTGATAACACCAAGGCCACGGGTTCGGATCCCATATAGGGATGGCCGGTTAGCTCACTGGCTGAGCGTGGTGCTGACAACACCAAGCCGAGGGTTGAGATCCCCTTACCGGTCATCTTTAAAAAAAAAAAAAAAAGAAAGTTTATATTAGGAATTTGATTGTTAAAACCAGAAATAAAGTTTTGCATGAACCTCTCAAAAGAAGGGGATTCAAGTTATCCAAGATTAGGGCTGTACCCAGACAGGACAGGGAGATCTGTTGTTGGCACCCCTCTTGCGACCTGGCTCTCTGGGTACAGGAGTCCAGGTGACAGTGCTCAGCTCTGTTTCTCTCTGTAAATTCCTTGAGGATCTGTCCAGAGTGGGTGGAGTTGTGTATGCAAGTGGCTGTGGAGTGCCCACCCTTTGGATGGGAGAGAGTTCCAAGAAAAGGGGGATTCTCTGGTGAGGCGGACACCTCAGAGCATGGCCCGCCCTGAGGGCCGCCCATCGCTGGTTGTCTGATGCTGTTCCTGCCCCGGGAATGCTCTTCCTCCACTGTCTGTCCTGCTGGTGCCACCTGTCCACAGAGGCTTTCCTGTGAATCTGGAAAAACAAATTGGGAGTTGTGTTGGAGGGGATGAGACATGACAGTATCACTGTAGAAAAAAATGGTAAAGCTTTACGTGAGTGCATAAAATAAGATAGGCGTGTTCATGACTGGAGAGACCAGTGTTTTAAATATGTCAGTTCTCCCCAAATCAACACATACTTGCAATACAAATAAAAACAGGTTTTTTCATGAGAAACTGTTCACAGAATGGGGTTGTAAATGTGTGAAAAGTTTCATGAAAGAAAAATGAGTTACTTAGTTTAAAAGATAACAAAATATACTACAAAGTTATAGTAAGTGGAAGTGTACAGTATAAAAACAGTGTATAGTTGACCAAAAAAGGCGTGGGTTTGTGGAACAGAGAGTCCAGAAACACCAATTATTCTGGGCCCTGAGGATAAAATGGTCGGGGAGGGGAGGGCATGTTGGTGCCAGCAGGGTTCCCCAGGGCTCAGCTGTAGAGGTCCACTCCCACTGCATGACCAGAGAGGGCCTTGTCCCCCACTGTGAGCTGGCTGTGGTGTTCTGGCAGGCCTGGCCTTGCTCACTCTCACCTCGTTGTCAGTTCATCCATCTGGGTGAGCTCTGAAAGGACCTGTCCACTCACTATTGTGCCCACCTATGCCTCAGACGGCTCTGTCAGAGGGAGCTCAGTAGAAGGTGTCGCACAAACACCTATGGGAGTGGGACTGAATGCCCAGGACCAGCCATGAAGGAAGCTGTGGTCCTGCCACTGTAAAGAAGCTACACTTGAAGTCCTGCAGCCACAGCAGACAGGCCGCTGGTCTCTGGCTTCTTGTCGCTACAACGGCAGAGTTGAACAGGACAGTATGGCCTGTGAAAGCCTAAAACATTTACATCTGGTCCTTTACAGAAAAGATGTGCCAATCTCTGGTCTCATGAAAAATCAGCTCTGGACTTACATATTCTCCTGTTTTCTGCCTGGTTATTTTCAGCCTTTATCTTTAATTATTTTCCCTTACTAAGTTACCTTTTTTGTTTATCTCTACTAACCTTATTGGATTTTTTTAATTCCCATAAGATGAACAGTCAGCTCCTGCCTTATTCGTGTGTTGCATCAGGAGGCAGTTGTGACCACAGTGCCCTCACCTGTCTCACGAGGTCCACCTTCCATGGCCTTCCAGACCATGTGACTTCTGCTCTGTTTTCTATTTTGATTCAATTATTTTATTTATTTTATTTTATTTTATTATTTTTTGGTGGCTGTCCAGTACAGGGATTGAACCATGGACCTTGGTGTTACCAGCACCTCACTCTGACCAACTGAGCTGACCAGCCAGCCCTGCACCTTGGTATATTAATACTGCCTTTTTCTTTTCTTTTTACCTGATGTTTCTTTGCCCTCTATTTTCATTCTTTATCATTTTGTTTTTGTTGTATTTCTTAGGAGCAGCCAGGTTTTGCATTCAATCCAGTTTGAGAGTCTGCTTTTTGTGAGATACGTCATCCCAGTCTGTGGGGATTTAACTTTAACCCTTCAGCTTCACCTGTGTTACTTATTGTCGTTTTTTTCCTTTTCCTTATTTTTTCCAGTTGATTGCTATTCACTGAATTTTTTCTCACCAATTTAGAAGTTCTGCTATAAATTTTCATTCCAATCTCTTTAAGTTACTTGAATCATTTGTTGTAAATCTAAAGGGAAGATTACATATGGCTCAACAACAAGCTATGTGTATCCTGAGAATTAACCAATTCTTACTGCTTTATCTGGTGTTCACTTTTTTTTAACTGTGGTAGAATACATACACACAAATTGGCCACGTTAACCATTTTTAAGTGTAAAGTTCAGTAGTGTTAAGTACATGCACACTGTTTTGAAATCAGTCTCCATCTTGCAAAACTGAAACTCTACCCACTAAACACTCCCTGTATTAGTCTGTTTCTGTTGCTTAGAACAAAATACCTGGAACTGGGTGATTTATAAGAAAATGAAATTTGTTGCTTACAGTTGCTTAAAGTTTGTGAGACTGGAAGTCCACAGTTCGGGGAACACATTTGGTGAGGGTCTTGGTGGTGGCAATAGTGACGATGATAGTGAAAATGGCAGAGCAGAGAGATAGAGTAAGCGCCTCATTCACTCTCCTTTTAAAGCCATCAGAACCATTCCCATGGCCACCATTTTTAATGCGTTCATTAGGGAATGGTCCTACAATCGGATCACCTCTTCGAGGCCCCACCTTTCAATGACCATAATAGGATTTCCACTGTCAACAGTTCTAGTGGGGCTAAGCCTCAGTGAGGTTGGGGGCATCCAGTCTCCCTATCCTCCTCACCCCGTACCCCTAAAAATCACCATTCTGCTTTCCATCTGGATGCTTTTGACCACGCTGTCCCTTGTAACTGGAATCTTATAGTATTTTTTTGTGACTGGCTTATTTCACTTGGCGTACTGTGCTCAGGGTGTGCCCATGTTGTAGCACATTGCAGAACCTCCTTCCTTCTTAAGGCCGAGAAAGACTCCACTGTGTGTGTGTGGACCACATTCTGCCTCTGCATTCATCTGTGGACACTCAGGCTGCTTTCGGGTTTTAGTTATTGTGAATGATGCTGCTATGAACACGGGTGTACAGAGATCTCTTTGAGACCCTGTGTCCAGTTCTCTTGGGTGTGTACCCAGAAGTGGAACTGCTAGATCGAAAATTAGAATATTCTATTTTTAATTTTTTTAGGATCTGCCACGCTGTTTTCCATGCAGCTGCACCATTTTACATGCCCACCACCAGTGCACAAGGCTCCTAGTTTCTCCACAGCCTTGCCAACACTTGTTATTTTCTGGTTTTTTGATAGTAGCCATCCTCTTGGATGTGAGGTGGTATCTCATTGTAGTTTTGATTTGCATCAGTGATATTGAGCAGCTTTTCATACCCCTCTTGGCCATTTCTATATATATATATTACTTTTGTTATTTGTATATTTTCTTTGGAGGAATGTTTATTCAGGTCCTTTGCCCGTTTTTGAATTAGGTTTTTTGGTTTTTTGTTGTTGAGTTTTAGGAGTTCTCTATATATTCTGGATCTGAATCCCTTATCAGATATATGATTTGCAAATATTTCTGCCTTTTTGTGAATTGCCTTTTTACTCTGTTGAGGATGTCTTTTGATGCACAAATTTTTAAATTTTGATACAGTTCAGTTTTCTCTTTTGTTGCCTGTGCCTTTGGTGTCATATTCAAGAAATCATTGCCAAATCCAAGTGTCATGAAGATTTTGCCCTATATTTTCTTCTAAGAGTTTTATAGTTTTAGCTCTTAATTTTAGGCCTTTCACTTATCCTGAGTCAGTTTTTGCATATATTGTAAGTAAGAGTCTGGCTTCATTCCTTTGCATGTGGATATCCAGTTTTTCCAGCATCGTTTGTTGAAAAGATCCTTTCTGTATTGAATGGTCTTGGCACCCTTGTCCAAAATCACTTGATATACATGAGGGTTTATTCTGGGCTCTCTATTCTACTCCATTGTCCTATATGTCTCTTTATGCCAATACCACACAGTTTTGATTTGTAGAAAGTTTCAAAATCAAGAAGTGTGATTCCTCCAGCTTTGTTAATCTTATACAGTATTTTTTTAGCAATTTGAGATCTCTTGAGATTTCATATGAATTTTAAGATGGGTTTTTCTAGTTCTGAAAGAAAAAAAAGTTGTTGGAATTTTGATAGGGATTGCATTGAATCTGTAGATGGCTTGAGAGCCCCATGTTGGCTGACCTCAGCTGGCTGGCCTCCTCGTCACCCCGTGCCACCTGCTCTCGCCATGGCTCCCTAGGCTTTGGCCACACCGCTCGCTCGCTCTTGAAGAGCCCCATGTTGGCTGACCTCAGCTGGCTGGCCTCCTCGTCAGCCCGTGCCACCTGCTCTCGCCATGGCTCCCTAGGCTTTGGCCACACCGCTCGCTCGCTCTTGTCCCGCCCACTGCGGTCCTCCAGCTCACGCCTGCTCTGCACATCCTTCCATTGACACAAGCCTCACTTACGTACAGCAACTCTTCCTGACCTCCCTCTCCATGTCATCAGTTCTCAAGAGATAGAGTCCTGTAAACCATCTTTCTTCTTTGTAGCATTTAATATGGTTGTGAGCAGTTTTTTAACTATTTAGTTGTATCTTCCCTGCTGGAATATAAGTTCTGCATGGGAGTAGGGATTTTTTCCTGTCATATTTACTGTGTATTTCCAATACCTACTTTAGCTCCTCGATTACAAGCCCTTGGTTATCATCCATTGAGTAAACAAAGTTTCTCTCCTAATTAACTCAGGGCAATGAGGTACGTGAAGGAAGAAGCCCATCGTGGTTCAACCCTGCCGAGGCTGTCCAGGCCATGCGCTACTGCTGCCTCCTGACCCGCAGCGTCTCCAGTCAGGTGTCCGCCAGTGATATTGGTGTCATCACGCCGTACCGGAAACAGGTATGCCCTGCTCAGACGCAGCCCCACTCTGTGACGCCCCACAGCCTGCTTCTTTGGTTTGGGAGTTCCATGGAAGACAGAAACAAGCTCATCTTTTAAAGAAGCAGAACCACAAGGGGCCAGCCTGTGGCTCACTCGGGAGAGTGCGGTGCTGATAACACCAAGGCCACGGGTTCGGATCCTATATAGGGATGGCCAGTTAGCTCTCTTTGGACAGCGTGATGCTGACAACACCAAGTCAAGGGTTAAGATCCCCTTACTGGTCATCTTTTTTTTAAAAAAACACATTTGTGTGAAGCTCTGAACATGAGGTCAACAAACTGCCACCCACTGGCCGGTTCCAGCGTGCTGCCTGCTTTTCTCCAGGCCAGAACCTAGAATGACTTTTACATTTCTAATCGTTACATTTTGAATGTTCATATAAGGACCCATGTAATATCCTTGATATTTTACTGTCCCTTCCCTCGGGAATTGGGAGTCGGTCCGTGGAACCTGGAAGGGGGAGTGGGTGGGACAAGAGACGCAAAGGAGGGAGGCAAGACAAGGATCTGATCAAGCCTCGTTTTATTGCCTCACACAAGCTTCTTATATAGAAGTGTAAAAAAGGGGAAGTAGGGGGAGAAAAAATAAAAAAACAGAAGTTGTTCAGAAGTCTTCTCAGAATCATCACACCCGAGCGCAGCTTAGTTCTTGTGGTC